TTTACGGTAATAAGATTTTTAGAGAAAATATAGAAAATTGAAATTGTTGAAATTTTGAAAACTTTTTTCGAAAATTTCAACAATTTCAAAAAATTAGTTTACCATCAATCATTCGTTTTCGTTTCCGATCGTTTTGAATGAACCAAACGATGGATACTAGGAATAGAATCACGACCAAACACGTTAGAGTGTAAATTACAATTAGCCAGGCTGACCACATTTTCAGATGTCTGAAAATCTGAAAAATCTTTTTAATTAAAGTTTTCTAGTGAAGAGACTTGGTAAAAGTAAAAATTAGAGAAAAAAGGAAAAAAATCGAATAAGACAGAAAATTTTCAGATTTTTTAATTTTTTCGGAAATTAAAAAAACGGATTTCTACATTTATCAATTTTCTAAAGTTTAAGTATTTTTCTGTTTTGAAATACTATGTTGTCCGAAAAAATTGGAGTTAGAGAGTATTTTTTGCAGTCTGAATACGGTAGGCACCTCGAAGCGGCAAGCCTAAATAGCACCTACTCGGTGGAGACGCAGAGAAATTTTTTGTTCAACTGTCTGCGTCTCGACTCCAATTTTTCGCACAACAATAATATCTGACTTTCGAGATTTCTGATTTTGTGAATTTCAGAATTTTAAGAATTTCCGAATCTCAGAGCCTCGGAAATTCAGAATCTCAAACGTTCGGAATCCCAGAATTCCAGATCCTCAGATTTTCAAATTGCATAAATTTTTGAAATTCAAAATTTTTGACTTTCTAGATTTCTGAATTATGAATTTGTCGAAATTCGTGAATTACAGGTTTTCTATGATTAAAAAAAAATTAGTTTTTATGAAATTTCAAAATCGTTTCCAAAAAAAACAAATTTTTAAATTCGTGAATCTTGAACATTTTTGAAATTATCAGTTTCCGAAATCTCAGATTCTGAATTCCGACATTTCAGACTTCTTAAATTTCAAAATATTTGATTTTTGGAATTCCTAACTTTTGAATTTCCTAGTTTAGGAATTTCTGAAAAATCAACATTTCCGAATTTCCTACTTTCTAGATTTCTGAGTTACGGATTTCAATACAAAAAAAATATTATTGGAAAAAATAATTTTTTTCAAAAAAAATTAAAAAGAGTGGATTCAGTGCTATCTATGTGCCTCTCTTCCCAATATTTGTTTATTTTATGATTCATAAAATTTGAAAAAAAATTGAGGAAGAGGTGGAAAAGAAAAACCATATAAAGAGTTATAGATACGCATGTGGAGAGCGAGAGAGAGAGTACAGGAAAAAAGGAGTAGCAGAGAACAAAACAAGAAAAAAGTTAGAAAAAAAGGTATTCCATATCGATGACGAATGAGTGTGGGTGGAGGAGAAAAAAAGAAAAAAAAGGAAAAATTCAAAAACTTCAAAAACTTCAGAAATTCGAAAAAAGGAAAATTAAAAAATCTGATATTCGAGACTTCTGAAAATCTGAAATTCAAAACATTTGAAAATTTGTAATTTAGAAATTTAGAAATGGAGACAATTATAAATTCAGACATGAACAAGTTCAGACTCAGAATCTCAGAAGTTGGGGGAATTCGTAAACTCAGAAATTCAAAAATTCGGAAATTCAGAAATTCAGGATTCCGGAAAATTCAGAAAAATAAGAAATTCAAGTATACTTTAAAACCAAGAAATCCGGAAAATTCGAATTTCTCAATTCCTTAAAGTTGTCAGGAATGGGAAAAAACTGTAAACATAGAAAGCATGTAAAAATCGCTAAAAATATAAAGAATATATATTTTTACAAGGAAATATAAATTTTCAATCATATCCACAGCCCATTTTCACAGAATTCGATTTTTTTCTATTTCTCCGCTTCTCCTTCTCTCTGGTTTTCCCTACCAATCCTCTTCTCTCATCCTTCGATTCCTAACAAATAAAACTGTATTTACTTTATGATTTTTCCCATTTATTTATATGCTAATAACCAGTTCTCCCGCTGCTGTAGTGGTTACCACTCTGCGCAAATAAAAATCCCCTTTTCTCATTGACTTTTTGCTTTTTAAAATTATTTTATGAATGAAGGAAAAGATGTGTTAAAATATTATTGTATGCAAAGTTATGGAAATGAACTTATAAAAGGAGAAATTTCTGAATTTCCGAATTTCTGACGATTGAAATTTTAGATTCTAGATTTTCAGAACTTTCGATTTTTTTTCTGGGATTTCGGAATATTTCTGAATTAAAATTTTTTTTGAATTTCAGATATCAGGTTGGAAGGAAAGTAACTGTCCATTTTTTCATTAGTGAATAAAACAAAAACAAGATTAATCCAATGTACCGTCGTGGTCCATAACATGTTGTCTACATTTTGGTAACTTGTGGATACCATCCCTCCAAACGCTAGCTGGTTGCGAATCAAACTATTGCTTTGGTACATTTTTTTTCTCATCGATTTTGTCGAAGTCCTTACGCTCCAGATGGTGTTGTATATCTCCGAATAACCAATAATCTGATAGAACAAAACCAGGACTTTCACGGGGTGAAGGAGAACCGTCCACTCAAAGCGGCTCAGATACATAGATTTTTAACGAAAGTCAAGTCAGACTCGAGCAGCTTCAGCGGGACGGTTCTCCCACACCTAATTATAGTCGCAACTTGGCTCTATCAGATTATTGATTATTCGGAGATGTACAAACCCTCCTGGAGGATGAGGAATTTAGCATTATTTATGAGAAACAATTGGAAAAAGGGATATTTCGATTCGCGGATAACTATCTTTTGGAGGTATGGTATCCACAAGTTACCTGAATGTTGGCAACTTGTTGTGGACCACGACGGTTCACACTGCTAATCTTGGCTTAATCTGGTTTTTCTATTATTCAGAAATAAAACAAGGGATAGTTACTTTCCTACCAACCTTATACTTAAAATCTCAAAATCTTGAAAATTTGGGATTTCGTTTATTTGTGGATTTTTTTAATTTCAAAATTTTATAATTTTCAATTTTCGAACTTCGGAACTCCTGAATTTTTGAAAGTTTTAAAAATTGTTAACTTCTTAAACAATTTTTGAGAACTCTAAAACAAAACTTTTAAAACAAAATTTCAGAGAACGATTTCAATAAAATCAAGCACAAAAAATAAGAGCCGCCAACGGTTTGACACAATTTTGTTGACACAATTTTGTGTTTGCACAATGTTACAAAGTAAAAATGGAGAAAATCCAGATAAACAGGTTTTTTTTTTCAGTGGTAGGAAAGATGTGGAAGTTCCAGAGGTAAACATATGAGAACTGTTCGAAAAAAGAGAAAAAGTATGCTCACATGGTTTTCGCCAGGAAAAATGCTTTAACAAAAGTATTTTTGAAGTCCCCTCTAAAATGTGATTTTCTAGTGAGCTATTGTTATACACCAGGCGGTTGACGCATCTCCCTTTTCAAAAAAAATCTAGCAAAACTTGAAAATTTGAAAATTTTGCTGATTTTTGCAAATTTCAGTACCAAATTAGTGTCCCGGATTTCAGATATTTTGGTTTTTTCTTTAGAGTTTTCAGGTTAAATGCTCTCCTGAGATTCTGAAGTTCGTATAATCGAGAACGCGAAAAATTGGAAATTCAGAATCTCAAATGTTTAAATCTCGACTCGTTCGAGAAATATCGAAAAGTTGTCAACTGACAATACGCTTATCATTCTTATGTGAAGCTTTTTACAAATTTTGAAATCAAGTAAATTAGAAACAAATTGTCAGGAAATTGGAAGTTCTAATCACTGTACAACGTCAGCATACATACCACAACCCCAAAAAAAATGAGGACACCGGAAATCCCATAAAAGTTATTGATTGTCACGATTCCATCATGGCGATCGTAATGTCATTGAGTATGTGATGATTTGAGAGGTGTGTATGGATATAAAAACTAGAGAGAATAGTGTGCATTTTTATTCAATGATCCGCCAAATTGAATCACACAAACAAGAGATGGGGAAACTCATTGAGGTGGAAGAAATCTATGGATGATTGGGTGGGAAAATGTTCGAGGGGAAATGCAGAAGTTCAGAAATTTGAAAGTTCAAGAATTAGGAGTTTGAAATTCCCAAAATCCAAAAACCTCTGAACCCTCAGAAGTTTCAGGTGGTACCGTAAACACTCTAATAGAACGCCAGCCGAATCGTCAAATTTGAGCCCATGTATCTTGTTTTTTGTGAGAGGTATCAAAAAGTGCTCAACTAATAAAATGTTGCTGATATCATGATAAACATTTTATCAGTTAACAACTTGTTTATATATTTCAGAATGAGTGAGATATATAGGCACGAAGAGGATGGTGCGGGTGGCTTTCTATTAGAGTGTTTACGGTATTTTTTCAAAAACAATTTTCAAAAATTTATCGAAAATCATTGAAAGCCTGAAATTTGTTCAATTGTTGTGCAAAGAGAAAACTTTTTTCTAGAATAAAATCTTTTATTTCAGCTTCCAGGCTTTAAAATAATGCAAAAACCCAACTCTTTTTTACATAAAATTTTTAAGGAAAATAAATGAGTTACCGGTTAGAAGATGTTCTTTTGGGAGACATAAAAAGTGGGGGTGGGGGACAAAAATGAAAGATTTTTTGATGATTTGTAATACTGTAATTTTTTATAGTGATTGTTTTCCAAAAAATTATTCACTGCCATCTGGAGATGGGGGACATGAGAGACCGGTGTGGACGGTGATGGCTGCATTGGCATTTACAGAAAATGCTGGATAGTAGAGTCCACGTGGCATGTTTCTGAAAAAAATAATAATTTAGATTCGGAAATTCCGATATTCTGAAATTTTGGAAATCTGAAATTTTTAGATTCGGAGGTCTGAAATTCCGAATTGCTAAGATTCTGAATTCCGGAATTCCTGAATTACAGAATTTCAAAAAGTTTTAATTTTCTCATAACCTGAAATATCAAGATGCTGAAATTCTGAACTTTCGAGGTTCAATATTTTTCGGATAAAAACAGAGAACTTACGTAAACGCCACTGGATTTCCTTGATACATTCGTTTCCTATCATTGATCGTGAACTCCATCACACCTCGATCGCAGTCCAATTTCACACCAATTACGGTACCTGCACATCAAACATTTCAGAATTTTAATGGTTTTTGAAATCAATGATTTCTTGACTAGAAAACTTAGGTTCCTCGTGAGAGGTATTTGAAATGTTCAACTTTGAACCAATGTATCTAGGTTCCTGATAGTTACCTCTTCCGACGCCGCCAAGAATTCGATTGTGATGCGTTTCGTTGTGCAGATACCAAGATCTCTCTCCATCCACATACATGGACCATCCGTGAAGATCTTTTCCGAGCATCAGATTTCGATTGACCGCCGGCTGAGCAACGCCGATGACGATGTCTGCATGACCGTCATGACGGTCTACAGTAACTTCCCAGTAGTGGACACCCTGCAAAAAATACGGGAATTTTTGATGGTACATACATGCGCCCCTAGAGGAGTTGAGCTGGTGGGCTCGCGGTTGTATCTTCTTGGAAAACTTGAAAAGTTCCGGATTTACAGTAACCAGAAATTTTCAAAATTTCGGAATTTTCAGAAGACTAAAATCAAACTGTCACACCTCGAAAATTGATAAAAATTCAAAATATCCAAGATCGAGAAAGAATACTGTACCTTTGAAAAAGCGATTGATCCTAGAACAGTGCGATGTTCCAAAGTGTTACCACACAGTGTTGCACATTCATTTGAGAGTATCATATCCCGTTGAGATGGAGATTTGGTGAGTTGGAACCATGCAACTTGGGCGGTTTGAAGACAAATCGATTCGCTGTATTCACTTTCGCCAGCCGAATTGAATGATTTGACGCGAGCTGTGTAGACGGTATTGAAATGAAGTCCGTCGATGGTACAAATCGTGTCGGGACCAGAGTAGACTTCCTGAAAATTTGGATTATTTTGAAATATGTGATTTGAAATTTCCAATTTAAAAAATGTAATTCAGGAATCGAAAATTGCAGAAATTCGGAATTGAAAAAAAAAACATTTTTCTGAATATATATTTTGGAGGAAACTTGAGAAATTCAGAAATTCAGAAATTCAAAAATTCAGAAATTCAGAAATTCAGAAATTCAGAAATTCAGAAATTCAGAAATTCAGAAATTCAGAAATTCAGAAAATCAGAAATTCAGAAATTCAGAAATTCAGAAATTCAGAAATTCAGAAATTCAGAAATTCAGAAATTCAGAAATTCAGAAATTCCGAAATTCCGAAATTCAGAATTCAGAAATTCAGAAATTCAGAAATTTAGAAATTCAGAAATTCAGAAATTCAGAAATTCAGAAATTCAGAAATTTAGAAATTCAGAAATTCAGAAATTCAGAAATTCAGAAATTCAGAAATTCAGAAATTCAGAAATTTAGAAATTCAGAAATTTAGAAATTCAGAAATTCAGAAACTCAGAAATTCAGAAATTCAGAAATTCAGAAAATCAGAAATTCCGAAATTCAGAAATTCCGAAATTCAGAAATTCCTTCCGAAAATGTTGAAATTCGTAATTTTCAATTTGTTCGAAATTCCGAAAATTTAAAATTTACGAAAAAAAAGAATTACCTTAAAATTCCCATCATCTCTTCCTGTATCAATCTCCAATGCAAATCCATCAACAGCACTTCCATCGTTCCGTGGCCTCCAAACTACAGTAACCGAGTTGTTTTCCGCCGAGCACTCGGAAGTTTCGATAATTGGAGCTGATGGTACTGAAAATATTCATTTTGGGGGAAAATATAAATTTTTCATGCAAAAATATAAGAAATATATAGACAACTTGGTGGTGGAATGAGGACCAACACATTTTTTTCGAGCCAACATTTTTTTCAGAGCCAAAAAATATTTTCAGATATTTCAGAAAAAACTAAGGGGTGTGTAATTTTGGTGCATTGGTGAGGTGGTCACAAATCAAAATTGATACAACTACTATCACAAATCACTGTAAAATATCGATTTTTATTTTAATCTACCTCTGGATGGGTCTCCTTTGAATCGGGTGCCTCTACAGCCGGCTAAATATTTTTATTAAGTTTCGCTTTTTGTTTAAAAACTGGAAATTTTTCGCTGAAAAAAAATCTTTTTCGAATATTTCTCACCTTTAAGCTGAGCAAAATCCAGAGTTTGTATGGTGTACTGTAGGTGTTTGGTATCCAAATTTAGGACGAAATCCGAGTCGATTTCCGGTTTTGTACGCATTTCTTTGTGCCAGAGGAATTCGAGGCTGGTGGATCGGTGGAGCAGAGCGTTGGAGATCTGAAAGTGAATTTTTTGAAACTTCTGGAATTATTTGAAAAGTTGAAGCGATTTAAAGATTTCAATTTTCCGAAAAAATGTATTTCCTGAACTTTTTCGAATATCTGTAATTCTTATTTTTGGATTTTTTAGAAAGGTATTTAGGAACTTCCGATTATTTGGAATTTCTGAAACTTCGGAATTTTCGAGATTCTGAAAATCTGAGATCCTGAGATTCTGAGATCCTTAGATTTTGAGATTCTGAAATTCTGAGATTTTGAGATTCTGAGATTCTGAGATTCTGAGATTCTGAGATTCTGAGATTTTGAGATTTTGAGATTTTGAGATTCTGAGATTCTGAGATTTTGAGACTCTGAGATTCTGAGATTTTGAGATTCTGAGATTCTGATATTTTGAGATTTTGAGATTCTGAGATTTTGAGATTCTGAGATATTGAGATTCTGAGATTTTGAGATTCTGAGATTCTCATAATCAGTTTGAAGGGTTCGGTCCGCAGGCTGGACCTTCATTCGCGCTAAAACAATGAGACTAGAAATTCGGAAATCAAGGAATTCATCAAATTAAACAATTGTGTTCTCAACATTATATTGCCTCACCTGCATATAAACCGTCGCATCGGGTTCCTTGAGCGCTTCAATACAAAACTGAATCAATGCCGACGTTTTCGTCAATTTTCCAGTGCACCTAACGATTTGAGCCTTCAGAATGCGTCGTTTATTTTCAGCCTGCTCCTCAACGTGCTGCATTAATTTCTCTTTTCTCATTTGAAGTTGTTCAATGAGTTGATCGATTTGAATGCAAACATTCGATTTGAAATCATTGCAATTATTTCGGATCACATCGTGAAGTCCTTTCAAACGTCCAATTTCTTCTGTGGCCGTTTTTGCTTTTTCAGAGAGTTGTTGGAGAGTTGTCGAGAGTTCCGTCTGCAAAATAATAGGAATTTTAGTTTCAAAGTCTTTCAGAGTTTTCGGGGACATTAAATCCTTCGAAATCTCAAATTCCAAGTTCCCTCATTTATTCTTTCCTTCTCCTCAATTTCCCTTAGAATGCGATGACCCTTCCAAATGACAAACTGCCAAATTATTCGGTAATTAGCGATTCTTCCATTTTTCTCCTTCCCATTTTTCACAGACCCCATCCCCATCTGCCAGTCCCTCGGAATAAAAATTCAGAAAAGGGCGCGAATTTAGAATTGATGAATTTCGAAATGACGATGAAAAGTTTCTTGTTACACATATCCCCTCCTTAAATTAGCCTAATTTAGAGGGGAGGGGTGGTTGATGAAGCAACAGGAAGAGGGAAAAGTTCGCGCCTTGAGATGAAGAAGAAGACAAATTGAATTAGGAAGGGATGAGATGAGATTGCGGCAGAGGGTGTCGAAATGTGGAAATGAAATCTTTGGAATTGAGGAACAAGAGAGGAAGTGTCTAGTACTAGATCCTAGTATTGCAAAAAAAATAAAAGTTGAGCTCAATAACTTTGAAGCTAAAACTCGGGTTAACAGCTTTGGTACTCGTTAACTTGATTCCTAAAAAATTTACCAAAAAAACTGTTAACAATCGAAATATGTAAAATTTCATAAGCTTTTTTTCATCAGTCAACCATTTGTCGATAAGTTTTAAAGGAATCGTGACCCAAAGAAGTCCTTCTGAGTGTCGACTTTGAGCCGACATATCTGGTTACTGTAAAAGATATTAAAAAGTAGTCAATTGACAACATATTTATCAAATTATCAGAAATATTTTATTAGTTAGCCACTTTTTGATATTTTTCACAGGAATCGAGATAGCTCAAAGTGCATTATATGATTTTGCCCATAACTTTCTTCATTTTTTAAATAGAGCTTTAATTATTCGATTCAGGTATAAATTCAGCTATAAATTCGATTCAGATATAAATATGGCTAACTTTCTGTATGCGATATATTACAAACTTTTCGAAAATGAAATTTCAAAATTGTTAGGATCGTGTATAAAATTTTACGCTCTTTCTATTGGTACCAAAATCAAAACACCAGCTCAAAAATGAAGCGAGTTATGATCATTCCATTATTGAGCTCCGTTATCTCAATTTCTATAAAAGATATAAAAAAGTTGTCAACTGATAAAATGTTTATCATAATGTCACAAATATTTTTGTAGTTTGGAAAATTTTTCTATCTCTCAAGATAACCAGGATAATCGAGCTTAAACTGTAATCTGGTCCACTTTTTTCCACTTTCCAAGTAGTACACATCTTTTTTCTCTTCCGTCCCTTCCCTCCGCATAAATTATGTGGTGTGTCCCAAAAATCGCGGTGTGTACATTTTGCGCAACAACACGTCTCCTCCCGTTTCCCGGATTTAAACAAGAAGGGGGTGATTGATGTCATTTCGTATTCCGGGGGACACTTTTTTGTCCTCCCCTTTACTGTTATCAAAGAGGATCTGTGGTGACCAAAATTTGAGCTCAATTATCTTGGGAACCATAAGAGATATCAAAAATTAGTCTACTACAAAAATATTGACAATGTTATGATAAACATTTTATCAGTTGACAGATTTTCGATATCATTTAAGGGAACCGAGATAATTGAGCTCAAAGAGTACAAGATGGTGGCGTTGACGGTATTTTCGGCCCATAAATAACCTCGTTTGTAAGCTAGAGTTTTGATTTTTGTACCAATCAAAAGAGTTTTTTTGTCTATAATAACGTAGGCTGTGAGATTTCGGACCCCCTGAAAATGTCGAATTTTTAAAAAGGCCCCCATCTCCCCTCTCATCCATTATCCCCACCAACTCATCCATCACCGTTGTCGCAGATTTTGAGCGATTAGAAACAGAGTCCCCACCAATTTTCATGACTTCCGTCATACGACACCTCGGTCGCAACACCCCCAGCCCAACCAATGATAAATTATAAAATTATAACCAAGTCGTCAGCTGTTCCAGTATTGCGTAACGCCTCTAGAAGACAAGATGACGTTGAAGACAGATTGCGTGGATATGGGATTAGGGGGCAAAAAGACAGAAGGCGTTAGAATAATACTGTATTATGTAACAGTATGAAGAGAGGAACCCTTGAGTAAACAATAGGGGTTTCTAGCCAGAAAGGATGTGCCGACTTGGGCAGGGTGTGACGGATGAATAGTACAAATTAGAGGGTTGGGAGATGGGTATTGTAAGGAGATTAGGTTAGAGGGTGACCCTTGGCACCTGTACAAGGACCATAAACCCAGCTAAATCGAGATGGAGCAAGAACGGATGAAGAACGGAAAATTATAGGCTTGTGAACTTATTTTGACCAGTATGTAAACTACGAAAATTTATTCCACAAACTAGCGAAATGAAAATTAATATCTTCTATTTTCAAATTATGTAAAAATATATGCTGACCGAATGGTACAAAAATAAATGATTTAGCTCAAAAATGAAAAAAAAAATTATGGGTAAAACATACCATAAACTTTGAGCTCGATTATTTATGTTCTTAAAAAGATATGGTCAAAACATACTATATTTTTTGAGCTCCCCTATCTCCGTCCCTATGGAAGATATCAAAAATTTGTCAACTGACAAAATATTTCTGATAATTTGATAAACATTTCATCAGTGGACTACTTCTCGATATCTATCACAAGAACCTAGATAAATTGGCTCAAAGTAAGCCCCTCTGACAAGTTGTGAGTCGAAACCCCCGGAAACCCATCATACGCATTTTTTATACATCCCTTTTGACCGCGTTTTAACCTAGCCGTGACCCCGTACACAAATTTGCTTAATGTGCAATAAAAAGTTGCCGTACCCGACCCATTGAATAGAGCCGTGTTGCGTTTTCGGGTCTCAAAAGAGCCGCGCCGCCGACAAGAGAACACGAGTCGAGATTTTACGATGTGTAACTTGTAAACCTCCCTATCACCTGGGTGTATGTGTCTGGTTACCTGAGAGAGAACATGTGTCATATTCTAATAGTTCGGCTTTTTGTACAGCTTACTATTAGCATATAATAGTAGCCGGTGGTGTTTTGGAATCTCTGAGTATACCGAGTTTTCCAAGACCGGAACTTTGGAAATCTGATATTCTAAATCAGAACCCTGTTTTTTTGATTACGGTACTTCTGGGATGAGTTGGCTTGGTGGTCTAGAAGTTTCTGAGTGGCTGAGCTTGTTTCCAGCAGAACAGCCGGTTTGGTCCACAGCAATCTCCAAGGCTCCGACCGCGGCCTGGTATCTGACAGCTATGGTTGAACAAGTTCGAGATCCCTAGAACTTTCGAAAAATCCGCCAAAACATTTCATTCCACGAAAACCAAGGCGTAACCCATAAATCATATTTGCCTCTTTCTCTCGACCGGGACGCAATTACCCTGAACCACCTTCTGGAGGGGGGGGGGGGCTCAGAATTCAGAGAGACACCTCTCCGGAAAAGCTAATTTATGTGTGTGGTAAAATAGAGAATAGGGGGGCCTTTACCGCAGATTTATGATTGAGGTGCAAGATGAAAAATGAGAAGTAAACGGAGGACTAAATTTAAAGTGGAAAATGTCATTTGGGAATTTATGGTTAAAAATACGATAGCGAATTTTTTGCTGTGACTTTCTTAGTTTTTGAGCTAGGATTTTGGTTTTTGTATCTATGGAAAAAGCAAAAATTTTCTAATGCAATCCATGTAAATTTTTAAAGCTGAAGCTTTATTTTAAAAATGAAACATACCGTCAATGTTCGCATAGTACTTGCACCTTTAACTCGATTATCTCGGTTTCTGTGAAAGATATAAAAAAAGTTGTCAACTAATAAAATGTTGGTGATATTGTGATAAACATTTTGTCAGCTGAGCACTTTTTGATATCTTCTACAGGACAGGAAATGAGATATATGAGCTCAAAGTTAGGGGTACCGTAAAACCTGTGTTACAAGCGCTCCTTTCCTTTAACTTTGAGCCAGATTATCTCGGTTCCTGTGAAAGATATCAAAAATTTGTTAACTAAAAAACATTTCTGATAATATGATAAACATTTTGTCAATTGACCAATTTTCGATACCATTCACAGGAAATGAGATCTATGAGCTGTAAGTTAACAGTTAGGTTTTTCATGTAAAACGTTATAACTTTAGCTTAAAAACCAAAAAAGTTACAGGCGATTTGAAAACCTAGACTTGGACAACTTTATTTTTCCAAACGAAAGGTTTTTATTTCCAATTTAAGCATTTACAGGTTAGTTTAACTTGTTTTTGTGAATCTCTAAATGGTGCTTGGGTTTCAAGATTTTTGGCTCCATGTGGCCCATACTCCGGGGGTACATCAAAAGAGGGTACATCATGCTCAGGGAGTACATTGACTCAGAGGGTACATCGTTTGAAGGGGTTTTCTAGGTAGTTTTCTCACTATCAGGGAGTACATCTAGGCCAATCTAGGCCAATCTCTAGGCTAATCTACTACCTAGATGCGATTTTTCAGACGATGTACCCTGTCAGTCAATGAACCCCTTGAGCATGATGTACCCTATTTCAATGTACCCTCGGAGTATGGGTCGCTCCATGTCAAGCTAAAGAAATCATCCCAAGTTCAGGAACCCATTCCCTTGGTCCCTTTTCTCAATCAGTACCCACTTCAGAACACACAGCTCCTCTCCATATTTACCCACTTGCTATTGTTGTTATTCTCTCTCCCCTATCGAATAGCAACAAATTGGTCCCCCCTATTGTCATTGATACCCCCTATCCTAATATGTTATGTATGCTTCTCTCTCCGATTACTTTTCGTCCCTCGGCCCAGTGTAAAACCCCTCCGAACATTTGTCATTTGTTTTCAAACAAAAACGCAAGGAGAACAAAATCAGTTGATCCCCCACCACTACCACCACTACTCATTCTCCAGGAATCTCGTGTCACAGCTCTTTTTGCTCTTTGCCTGGGCACAAAAAGATTCGTGGAAACGAGCGGAGGGGGGCAAGGTTGTAAATAAACACTAGTACAACCGATGATACCAACCATCGCATACACACACGGCTGTCAATTACATGGGAATGGGTGAGGAGAACGGAATCCAAGAGGTTTTCCACAGAAAAATCAAGCTCGAACTAATCGAACTATAACTTTGAGCCAATATATCTGATTTCCTTTAAAAGGTATCGAAAAATGTTCAACTGGTAAAGTGTTTCTGATAATTTGATAAACATTTTGTCCGTTGACCACTTTTTGATATCTTTCATAATAACCGAGATTAGTTAGCTCAAAGTTAGGGGTACCCATTTTCTGACAAACCCAAGCTAAACGGTCGCAAGTACAGTTCAGACCATGTTTTAAATTGTCCTTAACTTTTTAAGTTTTTTAACTAGAGTTTTGAATTTTGTACCAATCGAACGGGAAAAAATTTACGTACGTCAAAATTTGAAATTCGGTAAAATAAAAATAAAAACCAGCAATTGAGCTAAACCGTCGCAAGAACCATCTGACAATGGGGATGCATTTTTAAAATGAACCGGAACTCTTTAAGTTTTTTAGCTAACGTTTAGATTTTTGTACCATTCGAGAGAGCTAAAAATTTTACATAAGTCCACATTTTGAATTAAACAAAATCTCAAAAAAATGACCCCCCCCCAAGCACCATAGAAATCTGAACCCGTTCCACATCCCATCCCAACCGCGTAGCTGTTCCTCAAAATTACATAACCCATCATCACCCCAACGAAATGTACATGTCCAAGTGGTCCACATCTTATAGAACATCTCACATTTCACCTCATCATTATCGCGTTCGTTCGATAGAAAGAGAGAGAGATAGAGATTGGAGGAAATATCAAATTTCATTCAATGGAATCTCCTCAATTTCAAATATTTGATTTTATGTACATATAATGTTACTGATAATGGCGAAAGAGAGGTGTGAGGGTAATTAACAAAATAGCGTTAATTACAAAGCAAATGTTAGTGGTAAATTAACCTTATCAGTTGAAGGGCGCTCTTATCATGTTAAAGTTCACTTTAGAATGAACCAATTAGAGCGTTTTCTTTTCGCTCAATTATTTCGGTTCTCATAAAAAATATCTAAAATATGTCAACTGATAAAAGAAGGTGATATTATTGCAAAGTTTTTATCAGTTAGCTAATTTTTGATATCTCTTATAAGAATCGAGATAATTGAGATTAACTTGGAGCATGAAGATTACCAAACCCTCAACGTTGAGCCCTTATATCTCACTTTCTGTAAAAGGTATCAAATAGTAGCTGACTAACAAAATATTGCTGATGATTTGATAACTATTTTATCAGTTGACAGAATGTTGATATCTCTTACAGGAACCGAGATAAATTGAGTCAAAACTAAGGGTGATTCTATTAGAGTGTTTACAGTAAGCTGGTCACCCCTGGATATCCAGTCCCTTCCTAAAACTATAAAAATATACATACAAAAAGTTCTTCTTCTTTTTGCACTTCTTTTTATTTCCCGCCATTAAGTGCTTTTCCCCATCAATCTTTTTGGCCGAAAAAGAGCGGGAAGGCTATGTGTCACCCCCCTCCCATGGTCAAAAACGAAGAAGACCGCCCATCTAAGAGTGTGTACAACTCTTAAGAATACTACTTTGTTGCTTTTTATACACATACAAATTATCCAGAAGGGGAGGAGGAGGATTAAGACAGAAAAAGTATAGCCAAGGGGCCCGCAGGGTAAATTGGATGTTTTTGGGCAAAGTGCGCTCTACTGGACTAGCTGGAACGGCTTTTGGGATAGTTATGACTAAAAAACTTCCATAAGGTGACTAGGTGACAATTTCTGAACATAAGGTCATACTTGATGACGTGGCAGGTTTCCAGGGGTACCATATGGTGTTGTCGGGTACTTGGAAAGTCTGCAATGGAGAACCAGATGGTGCCACGTCATCAGTAAATGGATAGTGAAAAAAGTCTGTCAAATTGAAAGCTGCGGCTTTTTCACTACCGACCGTAACCTCATCCTCACTATCATCCTCAACCTCATCCTCAGTAGCATTCTATATATCATTCTCGACCTCATCCTCACTGTCATCCTAATTAGCATTCTCACTAGCATTCTTCGTAGCATCCTCAATAGGATCCTCACTATCCCCTTCAACCTTACTCTCAGTATCATTCTCAGTATCATCCTCACTATCATCCTTAATAGCTTCCACAAAAGCATCCTAAATATCATTCACGTCCTTCTCGATAGAATCCTGAATACCATCCTTAATATCATCCTCACTAGAAATTTTTCCCCAATTTTTCTAAACGTTTCTCGAAAACCCCTAAACTTGATTCCCAAACCCGCCTAGCTAAATTCCCATCTCTCCTATACAAGGTCATCATTTTGACACCATCACACTGAATAAACATGTTCATTTTGTTCTCCCTAAAGTTTGTATGGGTGGAAGAATACATAAAAATTTCCGCATCATTCGGATTTTAATTCGCATTGTGTGTTCCTCCCCCTGCTTTTGGAATCATTAGCCCCTCTCTGTGAATACTAGTATACAGAGACCATTTAGAAGAAATAATAATAATAATGACGGCTACGGTATTTAGATGGAAAATCTCAGATTTCAAAAGGACAGATTTTTGAAAAATGTCGATGGATCAAGGACACTAAGATGGGGATTAGTGCGGTAAAGTCTTCCAGGCCAAAACAATGATTGACAAATTATTTAAAAAAAACATACCTTGTGTCCTTTACAGGCAATCGGAAGACTCTGAACGTCGTGATTGGCATGTCGAAGGTCCTGGAAAATTAATTGGGGTTTAATTGGTTTGTCGTGAAGAGATATTGAAAAACTGAGATATCAAGAAGCATCCTTACTATCATCCTCACTATCTTCCTCACTATCATTCTCACTAGCATTCTCATTAGAATCCTCACTAGCTTCCTCTTTAGCATCCTCACCATCATCCTCACTATCATCCTTACTATCATGAGCTCATTTATCTTGTCATCCGTAAAAGTAATCAACTGATAAAATGTGACATCACCAATACTTTATCAGTTGACAAAATCTTGATATCTTTTACAGGAACCTAGATAAATTGGCTCCAAGTTAGTAAGCCTTTCTAATAGAGTAGATGGTTAAAATGTATGTAGGGGTTTCTCTATAAGAGGGTTTACAGTCAGTAAATTGTTGTTGAAATTTAAAATTCCGGTACCTGGAGACATCTGGAGCAGACTGGAACTTTGCACGCCAGACAGTACATAGTCAGGCCTTCGCCAGGATGGGTTACACATCGCAGAAGGTCTCGAGCAGTGGTTGTGGCGTTGTTTAGAGGAAGCGTAGATGTGCTGGATTTTCTGAAAAATTTTTTTGAAATTTTTTATAAATCTTACAATTCAAAAATTCAGCTTTATTCTTATGTAAAAATGGAATCGCTACGATACGTTTGAAAGGAGATGAAGAGTTTTGAAATTTTTTATCAGTAGAGCGAACTTGCCAGAATCAAAAACTCACTTCCTGCCACCGGCTTCTATCAGATTGTGCTTCGCCAGCGGTCCTCTCGCCGGATGCAACGCTGTCTGACACGGACTACAGTAGTAGATATCACATTGCTCACAGAAGACATTCGCCTGCCGATTGTCCGTCCCTTCGCACAACTGACACTGGGGTACTGTAGATGAGCAAGGCGTCTCCTCGGTTGGTGTGCAGACTGATGGACCCGCTTTGATGTTCGGATGAGCAATCAGATAGCGTTTGATGACGTTTTGCATGGCGAGGTTTGTTGGTGCGCTAACGATGGAATTTTCGTCACAGTAGTAGGAGGGTTTTTGGCACGAATTGCAGATTAATTGAACTCCAGATGTTGAGGGAGTTAGAATGTTGTGGAGACGAGATAGGGGAGGACCAATGATGCTTGATGGGCGGCTTGCTGGAAATTGGTTTTCAAAGGAAAATATAAAGAAATTCAGAAATTCAGAAATTCAGAAATTCAGAAATTCAGAAATTCAGAAATTCAGAAATTCAGAAATTCAGAAATTCAGAAATTCAGAAATTCAGAAATTCAGAAATTCAGAAATTCAGAAATTCAGAAATTCAGAAATTCAGAAATTCAGAAATTCAGAAATTCAGAAATTCAGAAATTCAGAAATTCAGAAATTCAGAAATTCAGAAATTCAGAAATTCAGAAATTCAGAAATTCAGAAATTCAGAAATTCAGAATTTCAGAAATTCAGAATTTCAGAATTTCAGATTTTCAGATTTTCAGAATTTCAGAAATTCAGAATTTCAGAATTTCAGAAATTCAGAATTTCAGAAATTCAGAAATTCAGAAATTCAGAAATTCAGAAATTCAGAAATTCAGAAATTCAGAAATTCAGAAATTCAGAAATTCAGAAATTCAGAAATTCAGAAATTCAGAAATTCAGAAATTCAGAAATTCAGAAATTCAGAAATTCAGAAATTCAGAAATTCAGAAATTCAGAAATTCAGAAATTCAGAAATTCAGAAATTCAGAAATTCAGAAATTCAGAAATTCAGAAATTCAGAAATTCAGAAATTCAGAAATTCAGAAATTCAGAAATTCAGAAATTCAGAAATTCAGAAATTCAGAATTTCAGAAATTCAGAATTTCAGAATTTCAGATTTTCAGATTTTCAGAATTTCAGAAATTCAGAATTTCAGAATTTCAGATTTTCAGAATTTCAGAATTTCAGATTTTCAGAATATCAGAAAATTACCAAAACACCGAAAAATTCTGAGAAATTCTGAAATTCCTGTAAATCTTAGAATATAAATTTTCAGAACTTTCGATTATTTTCAAAATTTTAGGATTTTTCGGGCTAGTTTGGAAAAAATTAAGGATTGAAATTCCCAAGAACAAGTTTCAATCCCTCATAACTTTCTCCAAAATCTTCTAATTTTCTCTAATTTCTTTCATCTGCGCCTTTAAATTTCGAAAATTCCGAAAACTCACTTCTTCCACATCCCACGACTCCTGAATCTGTCTCTGAAACCACTGATAACTTGTCACTCTCATGATCACCACCATCGGAGACGCACAGCGACATGGTGTCAGATGCTCCTGTAATAAAAAAGAAATTAATTATTTTTAATTGGAAATTGGTTATATAATTAGGTATAAGTCAGTGGTCTTTTGTCGGCCTAGACCCTTTTTTCTCCCATTTCTCCGAAATTGGATTACTCAATTTCATTTCTTGGAGATGACATATGGTGTCATCTCCAAGACACCCCTCCAATTCAATGAAAGGGTACAAACATACCGCCAAAAGACAAAAAGTGGACCGCGTAGTTCTGTGTGTTTGTGTGGGGAAAGGGTTTTGAGGCAAAACCATCAACTACTTCAATGATAAAATTTTTAGGTATTTTTCGAATTTTCGGAAATATTTGAATTTCAAAATTCGAAATCGATTTTTTGGAATTTTTAAATTATGGACCTTTATAGTATAAACTTATAATTTAAGAATCTCAAATTTTTGAAACTCTGGAATTTTAGATATTCTGAAATCCGCAAACCCCTAAATCTCAGAATTCAAAAATCAGAAATTCAGAAATTCAGAAATATAGATTTTCAGAAATTCCGAATTTCAGAATTTCCGAATTTCAGAATCTGGGAACTTCGTAATTCTGGATTCCGCCCTTCAAGAACTTAAAAAAATCAGAAAGTCAGAAATTCACAAAATTCAGGATTTCTAAATTTCAGAAATTCAGGATATCAGACTTCAGATATCCAGATTTTGGATTCTGCAATTCAGGATTTTGAAAAATCAGAAAGTCAGAAATCTCCGAAATTTGGAAATTTAGAATTTCATTTACCAAAATTTAGATTTTTAAAAAAAACCCACCACTACTACTTCCAGCACTCTGCGGGGAGATTGGTGAGCTCGCAGAGCTCAAAATTTGCGACAAAATGCCTGGCGTCGATGGGCGGGGCGATGACATTGACGAGGTGGCAGATGACGTGGATGGCTGGTGCGCCTTCAGCGCGCACATCCTGCACAAACTATGACCACATGTCAGAATGATGGGATCGTCAAAGAATCGAGTACATATTGTGCATTTGAGCTCTTCTTCCATTATTATGGAGCTGAAAATTTTGAAATTGAGCAGAATATAAAATTTTTGAGCGAAAAAAACAGATGAAAATGAGGGAAAAACAAAGAAAATTAAAGCTGAATTTTCAGGAAATCTGGGGTATCTCTCTTGAAAATTAAATAAAAATTGCTTTAAAAAAAGCTTCAAAAAGCAAAAAAATACAATTTTTTCGATATCGGAAGATTCCAAAAAATTCGCCGAAAATAGAAAAAAAAACTTCTAACAAGAAAAAAATAGAAGCAGAATCAGGAAAAAGCATCCACTTGTAAAGAGTTTGTATTTGTTTGAAGTGGAGAAAAATAGAAGAAGAAGAAGAAAACGACAAAAAACGCATAAACAGATTTTTAGAGTTTTTTTGGGTTATGGGAATTTTCAGAAAAAAACACGAATTTTGATTTTTTTTTCTGAAAAAAAATTTCAGCAAAAATCCAAAAAATCAGAAAAATTCTTGAAAAAAACCTAGAATTTTTAGACCAAAAAATACAAGGTAAAAAAAGAAAATTGTGAAAATAAATTTTCTGAAAAATGGCTTCAAAATTTTAAAAATCTCAAGTTGCGGTCCGAAAAAAATCTTCAAAAATTCCGAAAAATCTCGGAACACACAAACTTTCACTCTCTCCGAAAATTCTCCATTTTTTTGCATGAGAACGTCTTAAAGAGCCAGCAGACATAGACGAGGCGGAAGAGGGGCAAAACAACGGGGCGGAAAAACGTACGCGCGGACGGACTGCCCCAAAGAAAAATGGGCGGAGCCTTCTGGACCGGGGGGGGGGGGAAGGGCGGGATAGACATGGTAGATGGGAAGAAGGAGAAGAGAATTGGCTAAGAGGAAACAGGAAGAAGAAGAAGAAGAACATTGAAGACAGCGATATAGGTATTGAGCAATGAGTGAGGATGATGGATTGAGTGTGATGATGGTAAAAGGTGGAAAATTTTGCAAAAAAGATTTGTACATGAGTGATTTGTAAAAAAATTCCTACAAAAAATATGTGAGTTTTATAAATTATAGGTAACTTTGAACATTTGAAAAATTTCAAGCATCAGCCCTAAAAACTTTAAACACTGAGAGTGTCAACTTCAAGCTCATATAGCTCATATCCTGTGAAAGACATCAAAAAGTGGTCAACTGATAAAATGTTCATTAAATTATCAGCAATATTTTGTCAGTATTTTCATTTTTTCTGACTTTCCAGAATTTTCAGATTTTTTTTTTTCAAATGTTCGTCCTATTTTATGAGAAATTGTTAGCTAATTATATAAGTTCTAGTTAATTCTAGTTAACGTTTGACTTCTAATTTTTTTTTGAAATTTAAGAAATATTATTTACCGTCTACTTTTAGGTTTTTTTAATGACAGATTTGAAATCGTTTTAAAAAGTGGTCTGGGACTTTTTGATTTCTCTGAAAATTACAAAATTTACTAAGCAAAAATTAAGCTTCATTGTTGTAATTGACACTTTTCTGGTCAGATTCCATTGTGACTAAAAAGTGCCAAAAACGCACATCTCACTTCAGAATCGCTTATCTCACTTTGTTGAATTTTTCCAAAAAAATTATCAACTACAAAAATAAAGCTTTATCTTTGCTTATTATACTCTGAAATTTTCAGACAAATCGAAAAAAATTCTAGACCACCTTTTTAGGGCTCCGAAATTGTCTATTTTTCTCTGAAAAATGGAAACATGAAGGCTCAAGATTAGCAAGATGATTGATAGGTACAAACTTTGTGCAAAATTTAACAGAAAAAAATTTAAAAATGTCAAAATTCTGGGGGTCGGATGAGATGAAAACATAGGTCATATGGTGGTCGCAGATTCGATGGAAGGGGTATATTTTTTATGGAGCGGTGGGACCGAAAAATTTTTTCGGGGTTCAGAAAAGAATATGATTTTAATAGAATGCTCATACAGGAGTTTTTAGGGCACATATAGTACAATGAGGGTTTAAGTCATTTAAAAAAACCCCCCAGAAAAAAGAGTTTAGTAGAATGGCCTAGAAGACTCCTCGGTTTTCTAGAACATATTAAAAACCCGAAACGTTCAATTAGAAGTCGAAAACTGTCTAATTTTTCGGGTGCTTGGTTTTCTAGGTCACGCTTCAAGAAATCAGGCTTTCTGTGACCTCTAAACAAAGAGCAAAACTCATGGATGTCCAAATAGTGGGCTAACTTCCAAATTTCTATCCCATCAGTGAATTTCAAGTTCCCACTAGGCTTCGGGTCAAACTGATTCCAGTAGCTTAGCTTTATTGGGTTTCTAGGCTATTGGTGGTTTTATAGATCATGGGCTAACTTTTGGGCTAACTTTCCGATTGCCACGTTGTGGCCTAGGAAATTCATAAACACGATTTCTAGGCCTTGCTCTCATTGAAGGTCACTATTTTTCCAAACCACTTTTTTAATCGCTGCTATCCGCAAAAATAATAATGAGCTTTTTCTCAATTCCTCCGAGAGAGATCATCATCGCGAGAAAACGAAGACAAAAATTATTAAACAACACAAACTCCCAGAGTGAGAAAGAGAGAGAAAGAGAGAGAGAGAGAGAGAGAGAGAGAGAGAGAGAGAGAGAGAGAGCACAAAATGATGTCCCCTCTTTTTGCAATTATGATGATGATGGACCCGAAGAAGTTTTGAGAAAAGAGAAGAAACTCGGGAAAACGTTTAGAAATTGTGAGAACCTGACCCAGATTTTATGGCCTAGAAATCCTTGGGAAGTTAGGCCATCAAAATTTAAGCCATGACCTAGAAAACCGGCCTAGATATTTGGAGAGTTAAGCCACAGTCGTAAAATGGCATAGAAATATAATATATAAATTTTTTAGGCCAAAAAATGGGGAAGTTAGACCACTTGGTTCTTAACTTTTTCGGGATCGTTATAATCGTCAAATAGCTGAGCAAATGATTGGTAGCCTAGAAATCCCAATTTTTAATTTTCTAGGCCATCAATAGTACACAATGAGGAAACCAAGATACCCCTTTTCTTCCAACGGCTGTCATATATGGCTTAACCAAAGTTTGGAAAACGGGAAGGAGGAGGAGAAAGATGTATAAATAAATAAACAGAGAGAATAGGAATAAGGAAAGGTATCAAGTTGTCCATCTACTGTCTTAAGAAACCAAAAATGAGGGAAATGGGGATATATATAGGAAACAGCAAACCTTATAAGACTTACGCTCTAAGTTTCGAATTAAGACAGAAAAAAAAAACTGAATTTTGAAATTTTGAAATTTTGAGTTTTTAATATTTTCAGAATTCTAAATTCATAAAAAAATTTACTGATTTTTGAGACATTCGAAATTTGAGAATATAGGTAGAATATTCAAAATCTCAAGAATTTTTTTTTACAAAAATATACATGATCTCTATTTCACTAGGGAAGGCCCCAACTCGGGTGGGGCGATACGGGCGGTGACCTATATCATCTGAAAGCTGACATTTTCCTGATTCCAAATCTGATTTCAAAAAGTGCTTTGTCGCGGTAGTTTTCGAGAAAATTGGGTCGAAAGTTCCGAAAAATGACGTGGATTTTTTATCTCATTTTGTAGAAAAAATTTGGAAGCGTGGTCAAATGGTTAGTGAGGAGGAATATCAAGTGATGACTCTCTGGTTCGACTCCCTCGAGCTGCTAAACTTTTTTTGAATTTTTTCTTCATTCTTTCCGGTGGCCGTATTTGACTTGTAGAAATGGACATAGGTTATCGAATCTCGTGAAACAACTTTTTTTCATTGGTTCTCTTAGTTTTGAAAATTCTAGCACATTAAAATTTTTCTCGAAAATTGAAAAAATGCCAAGGGTGATTTTTTTGAAAAAATTTTTTTTCGAAAAAAAGAGAAAACCTTTTCAGATTGTAGACAAGCATACAAAATACGACCAACATTCAAATATCCCCAAATAAAGTCAATAATTCCTTCAGAAACTCACTTCAAAAATGAGAAATTAGTACTGTAATCACTTTCATAGCTCATAACTTTTTTCACAGGGCGGGGTGGAAAAACTGACTTCAGTTCTATATTCAGCGTGCCCAAAAGTAATAATGACAATAGTTTGAGCAAAATCGAGAACATGCGGTTTGTCTAGAATCCTCGATGAATCACAATTCTTTGAAAATTGCGGAAAAATAGATGAAAACAAAAATTTCGAAAATTAGAGGTAAAACAGTTAAAATCAAAATTGAAACCAATTTCAAGTATATGGAACCATATAGGATCACCTAGAAGTCAGATACGGTCACCGGAAAGAATGAAGAAAAAATTCAAAAAAGGTTTAGCAGCTCGAGGGACCCGAGTTGGGGCCTTCCCTAGTCAGTCAATAAATTTAGACGTAAATTTACAGAAATTTTGAAAAAAAAACAGATTTTACAACCATTGTCCCATAACTTGAGCCAATTCATCTCGGTTACTGTAAGAGGTATCCAAAAGGAGTCAACTGACAAAATATTTAACAAATTATCAGAAATATTTTATCAATTGATTACTTGTTGATATCTTCTACAGTAAGCGTGCTTACGGTAAACATTGATTTTTCTTTTCTACAAAAAAAACAAGACAATTAGCATCAAAAGTAAAAAGGAACTTACAACTGAAAGTGAAAATCGTGGAAACCTAGGGAAACTGAGTCAGCGAGAAAATCAGACCTTGAGAACCTAGCAGCGACATGCAGAATTATGCTGCATATCGAGATTAGTGAAAGTTTGGGCTATGTATAAATGAAGGTTATTACCTAGTCATAACATTTTTTTTGGGACAAATCAAAACATTTTTCAAGGATTTTTTTTGATTGGCAATGTTTGGAGATATTTGAATTTCTAGGGATTTTTCTAGGGATTCGTTGATTTTTGAAAAAAAATTCTGTATGTTCGGAAAATCAGGAAGTCGAAAAAACAGAAATTCCAGAAATTCAGAAATTCAGAAATAAAAATCGGAAGTTCCAAAATAAACAACTAGAAATTCAGTGAAATTCGGAAATTTGGAAAGTTAAATTTAT